TGCAACAATTAGACATTTTCCCTCTCTACTTTATGTCAAATCGTTGCAAATAATATGTAACGGAGGTAGTAAAAAGAAATACCCTGTAAATGTTTAACCTGAGATTTCAAATTGCTACTTCAGATTTCATTGCTGAAGTCTTCATGTAAAGTGGCTCTTAAGGAATTGAAGCAGTGGATGAAGCCAGAAAAGGTAAAACTTGGTAGTATCAGTTGAAAACGTAGTAGTATGCACCGCACTGCCTATTGTGCTTTTGAGTTTTACTGAACTTAGCTGGGTTGTGCCTCAGGTGAAAACTACATTACTCGCATTTCCTTCATCAGCAGAAATAGTAGCAGAACCATTAGGCGTTGTGTTGATTATCTCTGCGTGGAATTATCCGATTCGTGAGTTGGAATTTTGCTCACTTAAATCACTACATGTTTCTCTTATGATTATAAAATGTGTCTTTATTTAATTAATTAATTTATTTACATTACTCTTATGAAAAACTTCAAACCATATTACATTAGTAATGTCTGATGTGTGGTTAATCCTTGTTGAATACAAATTGAAAATTGATATTAGAGAGTCCTGTTAACATTTTAGTTGTGAAGGAGTAACATCTATTGTCTACCTCAGCTCAGCCAAAAGAGTCTCTTCCCCTCGCCCTCCTCTCAAAAGAAGATCAGTTTTTATCTTCATAGACCCTTCAGAAAGTAGAAGAGACTTCCACGGTCCACATGCATGAATGGCTTCATCTCACTAAACCAAGATTGCAGTTAGAACTTAGAATATTGATAATTTTTTCAAGTCTTCTCTGTCAACAACAGCTGAATTCAAAGAATGCTTGGTAGCCGAATTATGTGATGTATATTCTTTTGCCTCTTCAAACATGTTATCTCATCTATTTATTTGAATAATCACTAATGGAACAAGAATACAGTTTTTGTGAAGGATTACCTGAACGCCATGTAGAGGATGGAAATCCTCACTGTAGCATGCAGATACTATTTTAAACTGATGAGGCACCCCATGCAATTAGCAACCAATAACTCAATGGACTATGGAATGAAAACTTATCTCTCACTTTTTTAGAACAGGCTGTGCACTTTTCTCTCTGTGATATTGGAATTCTGATTCATAGTATACTTCTTGTGTAGGTGTTGTTCATATTTTAAACTTTTATCACTTTAACTTAATATACGAGTTTGAGACACTTTATACCGTGCATCTGCCATTGCCCCCTTTTTAAAATTGTGTCATATGTCATGGTTTCTATGTGGCTTGGTGCGTAATAAATGGGCTTTGTTTCTGCATTTGAATCTATAGTTTTCTTTTTGTCTATTACTAGCAAAGTATGTGGGACAACTGAGTGATTATCTACCTTGTGCATGATTGCTTTCTTCAGTGTTATCACTTGATCCTGTTATTGGAGCCATAGCAGCTGGTAATGCAGTCGTCTTAAAGCCTTCTGAAATTTCTCCTGTTACGTCTTCATTGCTAGCAAAGTATGTGGGACAATATCTGGATAGTTCTGCAGTCAGAGTTGTAGAAGGAGCCGTTCCTGAAACTTCTGCTCTTCTGGAACAAAAATGGGATAAAATATTTTATACAGGTTTGATTCTGAAATACTACAAAATGGGATAAAATAGTGGCTGTATGTATTTTTGTTGATGCACTCCTGACAAATTGCTGGTTTTTGTTTTCCATTGTATAAGCTCTCAAATCAATCTCTGAGCTTGAAACATAAAAGGCTATTAATTTTTGTTGTCAATTTTTTTTATCAGAATGCTGTTTGCAGTTGGTTTCAGAATTAAATTATGTAGTAATTTGGCTACCAGGCAATGTTTTGGTGCGTGGTCAACTTGTTCTAATAGAACTTGTCTTACTTTTGGGCCACTTCTCTAAAGGCAAAATTTGTCCGAGAGACTGAGACGGTCTCACAATAATCTATAGTGGGGCAGGGCCCAGGTGACTTGTTACTTTATCTGGGAGAAGCTTTAAAATGTTTAACAATAAATTAATACAAGCTTTTTAGACGTACCCTTCTCTAAATTTCTTTGAATCACTGGACAAGTGATTGCTATTCATTGTAGTGGTGTAGCTGTCTAATCTAATTTTACATGGAAATTGCTTTAATCAAGATAATTTCGCTCACAAAAGCTGTCGTTATAAATGAGCAAAATTTGGCTATATTAAGCTTTGTCATTGACTTAGTTTCTTTTAGCATTACTGCTATGCTATCCTTTGTATAGATGCTTTGTCTTTATAAATGTGACCTTCTAATAACAATTGGCTCCATGAAATTGTAGGCAATGCAAAAGTGGCACGTGTAGTGATGACAGCTGCTGCCAAGTACCTTACTCCTGTTGTCTTGGAACTTGGAGGAAAATCTCCAGCAGTAGTTGATCCCGATGTTAATCTAAAAGTAAAGAGCTCTGTTTTTTTTTTTTTTTTTTTTTTTTTTTTTGCATTCAAGCACCTTAATATATGGACTCTCTCTCCTCACATGTTGGGATTCTTGCTTGTAGATTGCTGTAAGAAGAATTATTGCAGGCAAGTGGGGGAACAACAATGGGCAGGCATGCATCTCTCCTGATTATATTGTCACTACAAGAGACTTTGCTCCCAAACTGGTAAGATTCTGAAATATTAACAGGTCTGAGAACCTGAGATATAATCTTTATATATGCTGCTTTTTCGCTGATGTTGCTATAATACAGGTAGATACTTTAAAACGTGAATTGGATAGATTCTATGGTAAAGAGCCACTGCAATCTCCTGATTTGTCTCGAATTGTGAATTCCAACCATTTTGATCGTTTAGCAAGGCTTCTAGATGAGGATAAAGTAGCTGGTAAAATTGTTTATGGTGGTCAAAGAGACAAAGCTCATCTGTAAGCTTAGCAATTAATGCTTAATTTCTTATTACTTTGCAAGAAAAAGTTATTTACAGTAATGAGGAAATTTTCAATGTGCTACAGAAAAATTGCTCCCACATTATTGCTGGATGTCCCTCAAGACTCTCAAATCATGAATGAGGAGATATTTGGTCCATTACTTCCCATTATCATGGTATAATTGAGATTTCTATTTTTCCTATCCTTTCTGTATTCTTTTAATTGATGATTCTCAAAGAAGACTCCGGCTTCCAATCTTTGTATCATTGTGAACAAAAACCTATATCTTTATAACTTGAGTTCAGGACTAATTATTGGAAAAAAAGATGTAGGTCTTAAGATTTAATCATAAAAGATTTGTCTGAATTAATAGATTATTGTCTTTCTGATTTTCCTCAGAAAGGATTGTACATGAATACATGACAATAGATGAAAACACTTACTCGAAACCAACCTTTAAGCTACAATGGACCATATCACCATATCATAATACACCTTTGGTTAGTTACTTGAGTATTGTATATTGATTTTTCTTAATGTGCTTGTTTGTAGGTTGATAAGCTGGAAGAATGCTATGAAATAATAATGTCACGAACAAAGCCCCTTGCTGCATACTTATTCACAAACAGGAACAATCTGAAGGATCAATTTGTGAGGACTGTCTCTGCCGGTGGTTTGGTCATTAATGACTCGGCCATACATGTAAGTGCTGCAACGTTTTACATTCAAATTCAATCACTTTAGTAGAAACTCTAGTATGTGAGATTTTGTGCTCATAACTCAAATTTTATTTAACACTTTTATGGTTCTTCATTCAACTTCTTTATTGAGTATTTGACGTTGGCAGAATCTGATAATGTAAGAGTTCCAGACTATTGATCTTTATGCCACTGCATGCCTGCATCATTGTCATAAAAAAAAAAGTTGTCACTTGCTTTGAATATGTCCTTTACTTATCTTCGGCAGAAAAGTATAAACTTCAGTCTATTAATTTAAACTTTACATTATAGTAAAGAAGCTAGAAAAATATTTTACGCTGATTGATTAGTGGGTAGTTGGGTACAAAGAGTTTCTGCTATTTGTCTCCATTACAAGTTAAATGTCCCTGGTACTCCGTAACATTTATTCTGCCTGTAAAGAAAAGTCTGCATAGTAAACTGCTTGACCATCCCGTCAAAGCTAAGTACACAAATGAATGATGCACATCACTAAAAAAGAAATGAGTTGTCCCAAATTACAAAGCAACATTTACTTGTTTTCAAACAACAGCAAGTCACCATTTGATGATTGTAATTTTGGTGCATCATACGACATATATGCACATTACTCTTTGATAAAGCTCATTTTACTTCTGTTGGGATTGACAGCTTGCAGTTCATGGTTTACCATTTGGTGGAGTGGATGAGAGCGGAATGGGTTCATACCATGGAAAATTCTCTTTTGACGCCTTCAGTCACAAGAAAGCCGTTCTTTACAGAAGCTTTCTGGGTGATGCTCCTGCTCGTTACCCTCCTTACACCCGTGGGAAAATGAGACTATTGAGTGCTTTGATGGCTGGAAGTATCTTGGACATATTTCAAGCTTTGGCGGGATGGTTAACTTCTGCTCGTAAAGAAAAGTCTGCATAGTAAGCTGCTTAAGTAAATTAGAGATGTGCATCATTTATTTGTGTAATTAGCACTATCCTATTTATGATATCTGAACGCGATAATTATTTGGTTTTCGTAGATAAATAAATGATGGCTTTATCTTCTTATAATCTTATGTAAGTGGATATGACTGAGTTCTGGTTATTTTGCCGTTAGTTGCTTAATTCAACAGAAGCAGAAAATTGCCACCATTACTTCAGTCTAACCTATCAGCAGTTTCATCAAATCAGTCTTTAGCTCAACGTTTAGTATTCTAATCTAAGTTGGGTTAATATTCTGTATACAGCAAAAGTGATACACTATAAAACTCTAATTCCTTGGACATTTTATTTATTTATTTATTTATTTTAATTTTAATTTTATTTTATTTTAACAACGGTAGAAAAGGAGGCTAGCTCCTAACAGACTGCAACTAATCCAAATTTATGTTGTCGGAGTGGATCATTAATCGGATTAACGTTATTTCTATGTTTTTTTTTTTTTTTTTTTTTTTTTTGTCAGTAGCATCTGAATTCCGAGTTTAACTGTTAAAGAAAAAGATTAGGATACTACTACTGCACTACAAAGATATTCTGTTTTTCATTTATATAATTCGATTTTGAATCAGCAGCATGCATAAAACCTAAACCAAACATTTCGAAAACTCTCCAAACTATGTACAGAGTTCCCTCAGATCATTACCTCACTCCCTAATCTATACCAAACAAAGGAAAGAAAAGCAGTAGAGAGAAACCAACACTAGCTAGTTACTCAATATTCTGAAAATTTCGGACCGTTGTACATCAGTTAGGCTGTTGGGATAAGCTACTAAGAACTTGACTTTCAAGTTCCCCTTATGATGAGGGTTCTTCTGGTTAGGCATACCTTGACCTACAAAAGTTTTCTCATAACCTGGGTAAATGATCTCATCAATTCTCATGCTCATTTTATCCTTCCCTAGTAAAGGAATGTATAAGTTGCACCCTGTCAGTGCATCCACCATAGGAATTTCTATCTCAAGCTCTAAATCGTCGTCCTTCCTCCTGAACAAAGGGTGGTGTTTCTCTGTAACGACGAAGATTATGTCTCCTGGATACTCTCCTTGACGCTCTTCTTTGACAGCTCCTTGGAAGGTTATTCGTGTTCCTGTCTTCCATCCCGGCTTTATGTTTACTGTCAAAACCTCTTCTTCTTGGACAATCTGCCTGCAGGTTTGGAGTTATGTATGATAACTGTCAATAAACTTTAGTGAACTTATTTGGAATGAGATGATTTTATTAGAGGCTAGGAAACGTACCCGGTGATAGAGAAGACATCTCTAGAAACCTTAATGTGCTTGACACAACCATGATATAACTCCTCTAGTGTGCACTCAAGCTGCTTTTCAGTAGCAGGAGGCTTTAACATTCCACTCGAGTTGGAGAACATGATCATAGGACCACTTCTACTTACATTCATTTTTCGCGCTTTGGTTGCTGCATCACTTGTTGATCTAGCAATGCCATTGGTGGATCCATTCCTGCCGTTAATGCTGGTTGTTCTACTAGTTGTTGACGGCGCCCTGCTTATTGTTGAAGGTGCTCTTGAAATGTTGGATGACTTAGTCCCTTGTTCCTTTCTGCTTGTATTTATACTCCCTGATCTTCCTGCGTGTAAGAGTATGTCATAAAAAGCCCTTAGAAATAGTGAACCAACTCTAAAAGGTTTTAATTTAAGGAATTGTTATTGAATTATGATTGTCATTATTTTTTTTCTTTTACGAATGAGTCACAAGGGCATTACAAATTACAAATGGGAAAGAGGAGATATAAACCTCTCACATATTGTACATAGACTCGCAATCATGACTATTATGAATTTATGACTACGCCAAATTGCCAAAGCCTTTATAAGCACTCAATTTAGTCACTACATAAGGCGTGTTTTATCTACATGGGCAATTAGTTTAAGTGCATAAGCAAAATAAGTAAATGTGTTTTAGCCTTGAGCACTCAATTTTGCAAAAACATGATACGATATGATATAATATGATATGATACGGTATTTTGCATTATTACAAGATTAAGATAATTGGGATAAGTAATTTACCTAACGAAGGACTTGAGTGGAAAATACTTCCTTTGGGAAAATTCCTTTCAAACCGTTGTGAATTATGGGTTTTTGGAAGATCAACTAAAGATGAAACTTGTGATGGGCCTTTCTTTTTCTTGGCAACACTTAATAAAATAAAAGCTTTAAAACAGTTATTATGATAATAATTATCATTATCATGCCCATGTTTTTGACTCATTTTGTTAAGCTCTTCCACTTCATTTCCATTTTGGTTGACCTTGTGAAAATGATGGTTGACATCTTGCAATTTTTCATGGTTTGCCTGCCAATCTTGGGTGGCCTGTCAAAGTTCATGTTAAAATAAGTATTAGAAAAATAAAACAAATTAATTAGTGTACAAGATAACTTATGGTAGCTAGGTTTAGGTGAGTACACGTTATAAGTATATCATATATTTGGCCAAATTCTCATTTATAGAACATTTGTTTGAGAAGCAAAATAATTATAATGAAATAAACATTATATCAACCGTCTAACTTTGTACATGCATATAGACAAAAATGTGAAATCCTTACATCTCTCGACTTGCCAAGTTGATCACCATATTCAACTATAAGTCAATTTCTTATCTTAAGAACCGAATCAGTTACCTTTATAAAGAGATTTTTATTTTATTTAACTTCAACTATAAACTTAATTCCTTATTCCCCTAAAATAATTCATTATCTTGAAACATAAAAGTTCATTTTCGACCACATAAAGGACAAGTTTTTTTTTTTTTTTTTTTTTTTTTTTAAAAAAAAAAAATCAAGTTCCCTTCAAAATATAAGAATTTTAAAGAACATAGAAATAAATACTTCCATTGGTTTTTTCATTTCAATACATCTATGTATTGTACATCCATCATTATAACCCTTTTTACATACACATAAAAAAATAGTTTATGAAATTACAACAAAACATTAATAAAACATGAAAAACTATTATTTTCATCAACAATAATTAGGGAAAATATTCAAAATTACATGTAATTAAGAATAAAACAAACCTTAAAAAACTCTTCATCAAAATCATGAGGATTAGTTTTGAAGTCATCATTTGGCTTGATCTTATTATTTGATGAAATGTGATGTTTGTGTTGATGATGATCATCATCATGATGATACCGTTTTGTAGCATGAGATTTATATTTCTTCCAAAAATCTCGAATTTTGGGAATATTATAGCATTCTTGATGAGATTTTTCTGTTTCATAATCCATGAAAAATGCAAGAAAGAAGAACAATAACAAAGAAAAGGGATGAGAGAGAAAGAAGAGAGAGAAATCCAACAACTAAAATTGCTTGGCTTAATTAATTATGCATGGAGCAAAATTGTGATATGAGGTGGGCTTTTATATATATTAGGAAAATTATTACGTTATGGAATATGATAAGACCTTTGTATATAATATTAACATAGTGTTAATTGTTAAATCATTGACCGTATGGAATGATTAAGGAATTCATCTAATGTTTCCATAAGAATTTAATTTGATTATAATATAATACAAAGTATATATTTAACTAGAAAAAAAAAATACTCAATAATAAAGTAGAAAATTTATTTCCAATTTATCAAACAAACAACACAATGAGAAGTTTACAACACAATAAATGGAGCTGGAAAATTATATGGGATATGGGATTTACTCAAATTACAAGCGTGATCTTTTCCTTTTATAGAGATTGTGTTATTTTCACATGATTATTGTTGAATTGAAATTGTACATGCTTGATTTTTACTAGTCATGTCCTTCACAATACAAATATTTATATTGTCTAGGGTGAATAGGATAAGGCTTGACATGAATTGAATAGTATATGCATACACAAATCAAGATCATCAATAAAATTTTCCTAAACACCACATGGATATGGTCGACCAAGCCAAGCTTGATCCAGTGGAAAGGAGAGCACCGCCCAACCATGAGGTTGGGGGTTCAATCCCCACTAGTGACAATTTGGGGGAGTGGGATTCCCTTATCTTCCCCCCACTCTTCCAAATTGTCTAGCCTGCTAACTCGGGCTGAAAAGACTTGTGAGAGGTTTCGGCTTGATAGGGTCCTTCCTCTTAAAAAAAAAAAAAAAAAAAAAAAAACCATGGATACGGTCGACAACACTTATAGGCACTTGCAAAATATATTGCACAACAAACTGTTAAAAGCACTATTCTCGAATCTCGATACTCTCAAGTGCATGAAATAATTAACCTCTTACATGTCTAATTACGGATTACAAAGTAGTTTTTATCTAGTTTATTATCTACTCTGTAATGAGTACTAAATAATGGTTAACCTAGGTATGGATGTATTCAACATTTCACTTGTCTTTCTTTATTTTTCATTCTTGTACTGTACGAGTCCAAAAAAACAAAGTACAGTATGGAGTATGTGTTTTTTGGTCAATATATGTCACTATCTTCCCCTCAAAAAAACAAAAAACAACCTTGAACAGTTGAACCAATAACCCAATCTATACTATATACTAAAGTAATCACCGGAGGGACACTTGGCATGATTTTATCAAAAAATTTCCCTCCGAAAGGCTCTTCTTTTGTTTTAAAAAAAAAGTTTATTAAAAAAAATTTAAAGTAAACATTATTAAATTCAAATTAAAAAATAAGTGTTACAGTCATTTAATTTCAATTAAATCTATTTCAATTGACTATTATTATATCATGCTTTATAAATCCGTGCATTGCACGGGGACAAAACTAGTTACTCTACTATTTTAAAACTCGCAAGAGTCACAACTTAACTAATCAATACTCTACTCATACAAGACACTAATAAAGTTTTTTTTTTTTTTTTTTTTTTTTTTTTTTTTTTTTTATAGGGCTTTCTTACCATTATTAAAAATCAATAAATGTTGTGTAAGACGGGTTAATTTTATTGTAATGGTCAATTTAAGTGTATCTTTAACAATTTTTTTAATTTGTATAAGTTTAATTTGATTGTATTTTTTTTTTATAATTTGATTGTATTTTAATGTATAATTTCTAATAAATAAATGCTTTAGGGGCTAATACAATTAACCTAATACATTGTAAATATTTTTTAAGGGTAAAATTTTTGTTACAAAAATGGTAAATTTTGTAGTATAAATGGTAACTTTAAATATTTTTAGAGTAACTTTAAATCATCTTACTATAACTTAATAAAAGTTCATCTTATTCAAGAATTTGTGTTGAAAAATACTCAGTCAAATACTCCATTCTTCTTACATTATATATGTTTTTTAACCATTTTTTTTACGGGATTTTAACCATTTTGGCTATGAGTAGGCATATTTACCAATACACAACTTACGCCCACAATTTATGTATCAGCAAAAACTACAACAATATGACATTTTGGAAATATTAATTACTACTAATTCAACAATATTCCATAACTACATTAGTGAAAAATTATGCATCAAAGTAACCACATGAATGGTGCAAAACTGGTTAAGCAATTATGGGAAAGAGATTAATACTCTCTCCGTTTTTAAATACTTACTCAATTATTACTTTTTTCAGTATTTATTTGTCTTACTTTGTGATTTATATATAAGAAAAAATATAGTCCCGTGAATACTTGTTGGAATCGTTTCAATGAATAGATGGTTAATTTTCAATTGTTATAATTTATATTTAACTCCATATGAAGAATATGAATATTTATCCATGAAAGAAAGTATCAAATAATTCATTTTTAATTTATCAATAAATAATGAACAAAATGATTAAGAAGAAGATGTACAACTAGATGAATGCAGGTGTTGATGGTGTTATCTAATAAGGTTGCAGGCCGAACTGCCCGAAGTGCTATGATCATGGGTACCAATAACACAGCCGTATATTGGCTATTTGGCTGTTGCATTAGAATAAGCCACTACATGACCCCTGTCTTAAATAATAAATATAAATTTTAATTAAAAAAATTGACATCTTCACCAATTAGAGTTCCTCAATACACTGTTGGATACATTCTAGGTAACAAAATACTTTGTATATATATGAAATATTTTTTGAATTATTAGGTCAAGTTCGAAATTCGAATCATAAGCAGTTTTTAGCATCAACATAGATTGGGGACTTGGGGTGGATGTCCGGATATCAAGAGGTCTACTTCTGGTTATTGCGTTATAAACCATTTTGAGTCATGGACAGGGGTACACAGCCCATGCACAATTATATACTACCTCCGTTACAGGTTATGTACAACGATTTGACATAAAGCAGAGAAGGAAAATGTCTAATTGTTGCACATAACCTACAACGGAAGTAGTATTTCAATGTTTACGGCTAACTGACGCTTACAGGTGAACATCAGTTGGTGGCAGGGGACGCCGGCCTTCGCAGGTATGAAGAATCCTTTTAAAAGAGGTTTGAGGTATAGGGCCAAAATGCGTATTTAATAATCAAATAAGGAGTTAGAAAAAGAATTAGAAAAAGAAAAAAGGCCAACTTTCCGTGGCATTTCACAGCAGCAGACATTGCTAGTTTGCTACACGCAGACAACTGACTGCCGAAAATATATGAAGATGGACATTAATCAAATTAGTGCTAACCAAATGAGTTCTTCAGAATAATATCATGGAAAGGATTACAGGTAAGATAACAAAGTAATCAACTACTGAGGAGTTTACAGGTTTCAATAACAAATTTCATTTTGGAAAATTAGAAGTATATAAATATACATTTACATTGATCAATGTTTAGTTCAATAATTTACTCTAGACATGAAGACATCAGTAAGCCACAAGATTATTACAAATATGCCTCAATAGATAATAACATGTATTGATGCTCTCGTAAAAAAAAATGATCAGCAAGTCCCAAGATACGTCAATCACTCACAAGAAGCTTTACATTCTTGGGGTCTGAGACTGTACAAAATTTGCATGTTTGCCAAAAGAAATTAGTATACGTACATTATGCTGGTTAAGTCCCTGGTAATAGTGGTAAATCTCAGAATGCAGAATAGGTATCATGACGTGCATATACTGTCCAAAAGATCCTGCACAATCAAAAGAGAGAAGAAATCAAAATTGACTCGTGACAGAAGAATGAATGCAGACGAAGAAAAGTACATCCCATACAGAATTATTCACAACCTAAGAAAACCCTCTAATAAACATGTACTCAAAACAACTAACTTCGTATCAGAAACATTACCTGCCACTCTACATTTGAAATTTGAACTTCAAATTTCTCTGATGATGTTGCATTTTTACCAAAACCACTACACCAGTAACCCCCTACCTATACAAGTGCCGAGAGCATCAATCATTTATGGTGAACCAGCATTATTACAACTTACAAATGCAGCATCCTTGTTGATCATAATTCAAGCAAATAAAGACTCCAGATTGTAAAAGAAAGTAGAAACAAACCTCAAGTTCAGAGAATTTCCATTTGAAGGGGTATCTGTTGGCCTGCTACAATATATGATTAGCGCACTGCAATATACCACCAAAAAGTATAAATGATGTCAATGTACAAGAATCACAAACACAATTGAAGCCAAGTGCAAAGTCTCGGGTTCTTCTGTCACATAAAAAATCATGGGAAATACTACAGTTTCTGTCTTGACAAACAGCCTTCATCAGCTTATAATTTTAAGCTAATTTAAGAAATGCCACTATGTAGATTCTCATCTCAATGTTACGCAAGGATAAAATTTCTCACCTTTGCTTGGCATATCTTAGTTATAGCCTCCACATGAACATTTTGCAGTTCTTCAAGAGTAGCCATATCGAGGCCAGACAAATCTTCACCCTGGTTATAAAAAGGAGGATCAAAAAATCACTTGGGTAAACAAAAAAATATTATTCATTAGCACTTGCAGTGCATTTGATTGCTATAAACATGTACCAAATCAAGATATAAGTTAAAAGTACAAGCCATCCTACAACAGATGGTACAAGGTATATGAAAAGAAAATATAATGCACAACCCTTCAACCTGCACAACGTACATACTAAAAGGACAACATACATCTAGATAGCAAATATGATAGCAAATATAATGCACTGTCAAGATTTTGGGACAAGTTTCTAGTAAATTTAATCAAAGAATATAATAATGTGGTGCAGAAACTATAATAGCTGGAGATAAGGACGTAAGACTTATGAGAGAATAACCTGGATCATACCGAGAACAAAATGCAAATATTGAACAATCACAAGGCCTATTAGGGAGCAACAAAGTTCATCAAGATATAAAAGTCAAAAGGCACTTTATAAAAAAGGGAAAAAATAACTACGTATTTAACATGCATTTTCTGACAAAAGTATATACACAGAGAGAATATTGATGTGATTAAGCATATGGATTTTTTTTACATACATCACATTCAAGGTCAATTAAGATTAAGATCAAAT